CCACACACACACACATAAATAAAATTTTTAAAAAAAAAGAAGAATTCTATGTTTAAACTTTTGTCAAAATGGTAACAACCATACCTATCCCTTGCAATGTGTTAATTATTGACACTGACCTACTAATTTGATTTGAAACTGTCTCATTGCTATTTGTTTCTCAATAAAATTATGGGGGGATAAAAAGAGGGTGGTAGAAAGCACAGCTAGAGCAGGGAACAAGGTCTGGAGCACAGCAATTATAGAGATGACTTTTCAGGTCTGCACAGTCCTACAGATAACCCACTAGTCCGACTACTGGGCTATATTGGATTATTTTGCTGAACTCATGCACCTACAATGTTTAACTGGCAATGGAATACCCATCTCTGACAAAACTAAATGAAAAAGGGGGATATAAATGAAGGACCATTTTGTATCTGTATATAAAAATAGAATAAAATATATATATATATATACACACAAAAAATAGAATATACAGCTACTTTTTCTTAATTCAATGAGAAGTAAGATTTATACTAATAGTATTTGGACAGGATATCATGTCTGCATCTTGTACCATGAATAACTACTACAAAGACAACAATATGCAATGTATAAATTATTGTAACTGTCCTACTATCCTGTTTTGAAACTATCTCATTACTATTTGTTCCTCAGTAAAATTAATAAAAACATACCTATCCTTCTACAACTTGCTTTTTTTGGTCAGCATGTTTGCAGGAATCATGCATTCAGTTTGAGTGCCTCAATTTTGCTACTCATAGTATCTCACTGTGTACATACAGTACCATGATTTCTTTTTCTGTTCTCTTTGTTCAAGTTGTAGATCATCAGTCACTGTTACATATATGCACCAGAGACCTGGTGTACTTGTCTCCTGATGTTCATGTTTTACTCCAGAATGAGAGTGAACCTGGAGTGGAATTTCTGCATTAAACATGCATCTTTGGGGGTTGGGGAGATGGCTCAGTAGAATAAGCGCTTGCCTGGCAAGTGCAAGGGCCTGAGTTCAATCCCCAGTTCCACAAAAAAATAAATAAATAAATAAACATGCATCTTTGGCTTTTTTGATATTGCAAATTGCTTTCCAAGGTGGTTTTTTCCATTTACCCTCCCACCAGCAGGCATGAGAAGGCTGATTGTTCCATGCCCTATTAACCACTTAGCATTGTCTGGCAAACATTTTTTGTGGTACTGATGGATGTACTCTATGGTTTTAAATGGCTACCTGAAGATGTTTTAAAATTCTAAAAACTTCTCCGTCCCCCTGAGCCCACCTCTAGCCTTCTCCACTGCTCCTTCCACCTGCCACCCTCCACCATCTCCAGCTTCTTCAGAGTTCCCATTCTGGGTGGGTGGGTGTTCATCCTCCCCTGCAGTCTTCTGCTGTGGAACTACGCCCGGTCTCCAGTGAAAATGCCCCCGCCAAGGTCATCAGAGAGCCTGGCTGAGCCCAACTGATGTGCCCCAGCTGACATTCTGACCTGTGGCTTGGCTTTCACTTTGCCCTCCACATTTCTTCCTCTAGCCTTCAAAACTTCTTCCAGAGCCTTGACGTTAATTTTTTTTTGGGGGGGAGGGGGTGTTGTGGTTTTTGTTTGGTTGTTTGTTTGTCTGTTTCTTTGTTTGGTTGGTTTTTTGAGACAGGGCCTCACTGTTGCCCAAGCTGGCTTTGAACTCCTGGGTTCAAGTCATTCTCTTGCCTCAGTCTCCCAAGTAGCAGGGACCAGCAGATGTACGCCGCTATACCCAGCTCAATGGCTTAATGTTCTTTTTACCTCTTCCTGAGATGTCTGACCTACACTTACGGCTTCTGTGACTACTTATATCCAGTTGACCCAGCTGTCCGTGGAATAAAATAGTGCCTTCCTGCAGCACTACAGTGAGTTTCATCTTAATCATTCTTCTGCCTTTCTCCACGAGTTCTACTACCATTATACCCATCCCAAAATAAAACATTGTTTTCTGACTTTGAATAGATAAAATATACTGTATGTATGTATTATAGCACCTTTCTCAACATTTTTGGAATAAAGATTTTTTTTTCTCCTCGAATGCCTTCAGGGCACTTTTGGCTGGCTGGAGTTGTGGGGATCTAACTACAGCAACCTGAGGCTGACAGCTTTGTGGAAGCAGCCACTTAAAGAACTGAGCTAGGGCCAGGCCCCCTCTCAACATTTTTTGAGGATCATTATATAGATGCTGTACCTGTAGCTCATTTATCTTTGTATCTGCTTAGTTCATTGAATAAATACACAACAATTTATTCATTGTCCTATTGATGAACGCTAGGTTGTTCTAATAACTCTAATGTTCTTTGGAGGTTTTGCCTTCTGTATTGGGGATTGAACCCAGGTCCTTCACACTGAGTTATATCATCAGCTGTTTTTCACTTTTTATTTTCTGAGACAAAGTCTGATTGAATTGCCCAAGCTTGGCTTACACTTGCAGTCCTCCTGCCAGCACACACCCAGCTCCAAAGTGGTTGCATTTGGCTGGACGTGGTGGCACACCCCTGTGTCCCAGCATTTGGAAGCTGAAGCAAGAGGAGCACTGCAAGTTCTAGGCCAGCCTAGGCCTCATAGTGAGTTCAAGACCATGAACTACATAGCAAGACTCTGTCTCAAAAAGAAAAAAAATTCAGGTTGTCACAATCTATACTGCTACTAACAGTGGATAAAAATGCTTACACTACACCCTTTTGAGCCCTTCCTTTCTGGGGGGAGAGGGGCTTCACAGTGAACTACGTGTCCAGCCCCTTTAAATTTATTTTTTAAATAGGGTTGGGGCCGGGGAGATGGTTCAGTGGAATAAGCGCTTCCTTGGCAAGCGCAAGAGCCTGAGTTCCATCCCCGGTTCTGAAAAAAAAAAAAATAATAATAATAAATAAATAGGGTTTCACTACATTGTTACATTGTCCAGATTGGACCTGGATTTGTAATCCTCCTACCTCAGCCTCCCAGAGTGTTGGGATTACAGACACCACAACACCCAGCTACCAAGTTTTTATTTTGCACAAGTGTGGCAGACAGGAAGTGATACCTTGTTGTGGTTTTATTTGTATTTCTTTTACTACTAATGAGGTTGAATGTACTCTGGTTGTCTTGGAGTGTCTAAAT